GTTATTCAGCACATTTTTGGCGGGGTGATTGCCCGGATGTAGCCCCACTTCTGCCCCAGGTTAGTCTCACATGCCAGATCCTTGGTACAGGGCACAGGGTTGAATGCTGAACCTGTGAGGGTCCTGCTGACTGGTTCTGTTTTATGTGGGCAGTGCACAGCCATTGTGGTTGGTTGGAATGGGTGGTGGCTTCTGAATTAGTCACTTCTGTATCCATCAATTCACTTAGGACCTGAGGCCACAGTTTCTTTCTTTGTCATTGACCCATCTGGGTGATAGCAGACTTGAAATTAATCAGACTTGAATTAATGAGATAGTGTATCTATTTAACACACCCTCAGAAGTTTCTTACTATAAAGAAGAGTTCTGGTGACTGGGGAGGCCTTTTCAATATCCTGATCCGGCAGGTGACAGCCCTGAGGGTTGTCTGTCAGTTGTGTTCTGTCTGGCCTTGGCCACTCTCTAGAACAAATTGGTATCAAGCCCATCTGGATGGTTGCAGCAGGTACACAGATCCAGCTGGTGATCTCTTGGGGTAACTTCTGTGAGCTGCAAGGCCCTTGAAATGGTACAGGCAGTGTTGGGATAGTGTGTTCAAAGGCGTGGCTCAGCAAAATGTCCTGCCAGCTTGGACAAATGCTGTCCCAGCCGGAACCCTCAGAAACCTTCAGAACAGCATGTGCTTTTTGTAGCATGTGTGCTTGCTGCCTCTTCACAGTGGGGATGCGGGACCTGACATCCTGCGACATAGAGAAGAAAGTGTCATTTGCCAAATACTTGACTGAGCCACCCCTGAGTGCTTGGTACTGCTCTAGGTCCTGGGAATACAGCAGAGAATCAGATGGAGCCAGTCCCCACCCACAGGATTTTTTTTTTTTTTAATAAATATTTACTTTTTAGTGGTAGTTGGACACAATACCTTGATTTTATTTATTTATCTTTATGTGGTGCTGAGGATCAAACCCAGGGCCTCGCCTGCGCTAGGGGAGCGCTCTACTGTTGAGCCACAACCCCCCACCCGCCCCCCACAGGATCTTATAGCTTGGTAGGGGAGAAAGCCAACGAGTCCTTGGACACGGAGACCCGAGGGACCTGTATTCAGGGTCATCGTAGTGGTCCAAAGTGTGGGCACTGGAGACAGGCAGGGCAGGCCCACCCTGCATTTACTAGCCCTGTCACGGTCACCCCACCTCCAGAACCTCCATCTCATCCACAAGTGGGCAAGATGGGGGGGGGGGTTGAACTTCAAGTGCATTCACGTGCAGGTGTGAGAGCGGGCTGGGGGTGGGCACTCAATAAATGGTCCCTATAAATAAAGTCACCAGAATGTGAAAACCCTTGAGTGAGCCCCTTAGAGTATAAGATGCAACTTTTTTTTTTTGCTTGTTTGTTCGTTTTTGTTTTAAACTGGGGATTGAACCCAGGGGCGCTGAGCTACTGAGCTACATTCCCAGCCCTTATTTATTTATTTATTTATTTATTTATTTATTTTTAATTTTGAGACAGGGTCTTACTAAATTGCTGAGGCTTGCTCAGCCTCCAGAGCTGCTGGGATTAGGTATGTGCCACCACACCCAGCTGCTACATTCTTATATGTGTGTGTGTGTGTGTGTGTGTGTTTTAAAATTAGATTAAGAACACCTTTGCTTTCATAATCAGTCCATCACAAAAAGATGGAGAAAAGAGATCACTCTTCCCTGCTTTGCATGATGGAGTGCCAGGCACTTAGAAAACATATCATTCTCCCAGCTGTCTAAAAAGTAGGATTTTTCAGGCTGGGGTTTTAGCTCAGTGGTGGAGGGCTGCCTCACATATGTGAGGTACTGGGTTTGAGCCTCAGCACCAATATAAATAAATGAATAAATAAAAGTATTGTGTCAATCTACAACTAAAAAAATTTAAAAACTAGGGATTTTCACAACCCATTTGCAGAGGAGGAAACTAATAAAGAGAGAGGTAAAGTAAATTTGCATACAGCTGAAGTTAAGTAAAGATGCCACAGCTAGTCAGTGGCTGGACTGCAATCAGAGCCAACTCCTGCCTGGCTGCAAAGTTCATGTTTCATGAAGCTCTTCCAATTCCATGGACCCGGTGCAGTTGGCTCTGAGCACTGTGCTTGCTGCCCCATGGGTTAATTCTTTGTTTTCCTGAAGTTTTCTCTGGTGGGTTGGCTCCAGGCACTTTCATGATGGTCTTTGACTTGGACCTCTCTGTCCTGGGACCTTTCTGTATCTCCAAGTCCATGGGCATCAGGCAAAGGGATCATGCAGATGAAAATCATCTGAGAAAAGACATGAATGAAATTCACACCTCCCATTGCAGACTCTGGGTCTGAACATTCACCCCTGTTTTTCCTTGGCCCATCAACTTGTCTCTTCAGCTGTGTTCACCACAGTCTCTGATGTCTGGGGTGCACTTTCCGGTTGTCCATGGGAACAACAAGAGCTGGAGGAAGCAGTAGGGCCGGGGGCTGGGAGAATAACGAAATGAGAGGCTTAGGGATTGCAAAGGCCTGGGGGAGACCAAGAGCCCCAGGCCTCAGCTCAGGTGCTTTTTATTTTAATAACAACAACTACCAGACCAGGCACAGTGGTGCATACCTGTAATCCTAGAGACTCAGGAGGCTGAGGCAAGAGGATCCCAAGTTTGAAGCCAGCCTTAGCAACTTTAGCAAAACCCAAAATAAAAAATGAAAAGGGCTGGGGGTGTGGCTCAGTGGTAAAGCACCCTTTGGGTTCAATCCCCAGTACCAAAAAAATAAAACCATGTGCTTTGTGCCTGGCATTGTTTGAAGTGCTGTCCTCGTTTAATCTCTTCACAAGTATCTTCAATATGCACTCCTAGATAGGGTCCTAGGAGATGGGCACTCTGATTACCTCCATTTTATAGTCCTGGAATTGAGGCAAAGAGAGGATAAGTAGTTTGCCCAAGGTCACACATCTGGAAGGAAGGTGCTGGCATTAAAATCCAAGTTACTTTAATCCCAGAGTTAATAATACGTCTATTGCAGGAAGGGAGGGAGGGCAGTGGACAAGGGTTTTGCAGCCTTACAGCACAAACACCAAGGCCCCGAGAGGCTGTGTGCAGGCAGGCACTGTGCAGGTGCGTGTATTTGGAGTCGGCAGAGTTGGTTGACGTTGCAGATCCTCCCACCTCCTGGCCACATAACCTTGGCAAGCAACCTCATCCAGAAGTGCTCATTTCCTCATCTACGGAGCAGGAATAATAATTCTTTTCTCCTTGGTGTCGCTGTGAAGATGAAGTGCAATCATCTTTGCCAAGCTGGCACATAATCAGAGCTCATGAGGGTTCACTGTTAGTATCATTATTACTGATACTGTGCAGATAGATTGTATTAACACACCATAATTGCTACATAGGAACCTGGAAACTCCAAGCCCCGTCTTAGCAACACAGTGCCACTAGTCTCAAAATAAAGCAAAAATAAAAATGAAAACTTCATGTTGTCAAAGAGAAGGGACTATGAAAACAGGTATTAAAGGACCCCAAGAAATTAGGGATATTTTCCTCAATGCTTCCTCATTTTTTGGTAAATGTTTCTAAATGGAATAAATAAAGCATACATGGATACTCAACAATAGTTCTTTGGATATGTGAATGCAAAACACTCTAACTTGTTTTATTGGTTTATTCCATGGCTTAAAAATCATACTTTGTGGTGTGGACATTCTGCCCAAGAGTTCAAATGGCAGGCTTGTAACCTGTAACACTGCAACATTAACTCGATAAATGCAGAATTTACTTTTAGGGATCTGAGAAAATTTGCATTTAAGAAATTGGCTTTGTGGGCTAGAGCTGAGGCTCAGTGATAGAACTCTTGCCTAGCAACTGTGAGGCACTGAGTTTGATCCTCAGTAAATAAATAAAATAAAGGTTAAAAAATGGCTTTGTATTTTATGACTGTTGCACCTGGATATATAAAATGGATTTAAAATATTATATGTTTATAATTTTATCAATGCCAGGAGGATCTTCCCCATCAAAAAAAAGGTGTCCATGACATACAACTTCCTGGCTTTTTGTCACAAGTGGGTGCGTTGGCATTTGCATTTTGTGGCTACAACGGGAGAAATCTCTATAACTGGTGGTGATTTTTGTTGTGATTTGTGTCTACTGGAGCTTCTGGAAAGAAAGGGAGCACATGAAAGAGAGCCAGTTTCTGGATGGAAACCCACATTTGGCTTTGAAAAGGCAGTTAAGCCGCTAATGAGCCCTTGTTGGAATCTCAAGTCTGACCCTTGGAGGCTGATGATTTCCTAGGCTGATGCGCCTGTTTTTGAATGGGTCAATCTGGACTCTTAAGACTGTCGAGAAAGGAAGCTGTGCTTGTCATCTGGCCCTGGACCACAGCTGTCTGGCCCTGCAGCCTGCCCATGCTGCAGCTGAGGAAAAGCAGGGGTTGGCCTGGAACCCCGACTTCACACATCCTCACCGCCTGGACCAGGCTCCAGCCCGACACCTGCTGCCTTCTGTAGTGTGGAGTTCAGCCCCAGCTGGAGCCAGGCTGCCTGGAAGCAGAAGCAGGCCTAGAGTCTGGAACCCCCTCCTTCGCACAGGGAGTTTGCACCCAGTTTCCTCTGGACTTGGGCCTGCACCTTTTCCTTTTCTGATTTGCTTCATTCCCTTCCTCTGTTATATGCCATAGCCATGTCTGTTCTCGGAGCCCTGCGGCTCTCTCCACGTGGGCCATCAACTGGAAGGTGGTGTTGGGGACTCCACACAGTGCATCAGGGGCACTTCTGGGGTCTTGTAGCATTTTCTTTTTCAATCTGGGTACTGTTTGCTGAGGGCATTTGAGTTTGTGATTATTCACCTAGCTGTTGAATTATGACAATGTTTTTTTTTTCCCTGTAAATATACTAAATTTCAGTGAAAATTTTCAAATAAATATTACACACCAAGGGGACAAAAAATAGCTTAATTGAAAAAAAATTTTAACTTTTCTTTTATTCAGCAAACATTCAGTGCCTACCCTCTTTAATCAGGCATTGCACTGTGACCTTGGAAGAGGGATAGAAACCACAGCACCAATCCTCATCATTGTCTCTCAGCTTAACCAGGAGGCGAGGAAAGAGGACATTATGCTCAAGTTTGAGGGCTGGGGGTGTAGCCCTAAGTGATAGAGGGAGGACTTGTCTAGTATGTGCAAGGCCCTGGGTTCAATCCCCAGTATCAAAACAAAACCCAAACAAAAAGACCATTGACTATATGGTTAGGTTTTGTTCTGTCAGGGACCCATAGGTGCTAGGGCAGCACAGAGAAAGAGCTTCTAACTTGATGCTTTGCCACTCCAGGGTGGCCACTACAGTGCCTACAGAAGCCAGACAGGAAATGGGAACGGTATGGAGGGTGCTGGGAATGCCAGCCAACCGGAAGAGCATCTAGGCTTATAATTGCTTGAGCTGATTTTCTCCCCTTCAGGAAAAGCCACAAACCTTCATTTTTATGGGCGCTCCCTTTTTAAATACTGGAAATGAATTCAAATTTTTAAAAGCCAAACAAAACAACCTGCAAGACAAACTTGGCCATGACCTGCCAGTTTGCCAGGCATTCTTCCAACCAGCCATCCTCCCCCTGACCAAGAAATTGGAATGTCCACTGGGAGGTTGGTCCAGCAGTGAGCCAGCATCTTTGGCTGTGTTTGTGTGTGTTGCTTCTTGAACTTCACCACGTGTAGGAATCACCTGGGCAGCCTTGTTTAAAGGCAAATTCTGACCCTGTAGAGCAGATAGAACCTGAACAGTTGTCCTTGCCTTTCTAACGAGCTCCCAGGTGATGGTAATGCTGTCACTCCCTGCACTGAACTTCCAAGTAGTTGCTCAGTAAACAGGGACGCAGAGGGAGCCATTATTTGAAGTGGGGGTATGTGGAGGATTTGCAATGAAAGGTGCATTAAAACAGGACAAGCATCCCGTTTTTACTTAGATTTCAGTTTGTTTACCCTGGGTTGGCAGAGAGCTGATGATGGCAGTCAGGTACTGTCCTAAGCCGCCTCTTTGTGCTGCCAGGTCTCTGGGCTTAAAGAGTCTCTATTCCAGAAGACAGGAGGCGGAGGGAGGAAGGTGTTAGGAAAAGCCACCAGGAGGAGGCGCGACTGAACTGCAGGAGCTTCGCCGGCCGCTGGAGGCAAACCCTAAACCAACTGTCCCCTCCCGGGCCTGGGTCTCCGCATCCCCACGCGAGGTAGGGTTTCCCAGGCTATCACACGTGCAGGCTGTCTGCGGATGCTGTCAATCAAGTTTTCTAAGGGGCTGGATACGGAATTAAAGGCGGCTGCGGCTCTGGTCACTCCCATGGTGCCGCGCGCCGGGCGGGTTTGGATTTTAAATCCCCGCGGCCAATCAGTGGCGCGTAGGCTTTTGTAACGTTCCCAGCGCCGCGTTTGAATTCGGGGAGGAGCGGAGCGGTGCAGAGCGGAGCGGAGCCTCTGCACCCACCCAGCCAGGTCTCCTGAGCAACTCTGGGAACATGAGTGCGGCGGCGACTGTGGGGAAGCTGGCGCGGGCACCAGCCGACCCAGGGAAAGTCGGGGTTCCGGCTGCTGGAGCCCCAGCGGCTGCTCCACTAGCGAAAGAGATCCCCGAGGTCTTAGTGGACCCACGCAGCCGGCGGCGCTATGTGCGGGGCCGCTTTCTGGGCAAAGGCGGCTTCGCCAAGTGTTTCGAGATCTCGGACGCAGACACCAAAGAGGTGTTTGCGGGCAAGATCGTGCCTAAGTCTTTGCTGCTTAAGCCGCACCAGAAAGAGAAGATGTCCATGGAAATCTCCATTCACCGCAGCCTGGCCCACCAGCATGTCGTAGGCTTCCACGGCTTTTTCGAGGACAACGATTTCGTGTTCGTGGTGTTGGAGCTCTGCCGCCGGAGGGTGAGTGTGGCTGCTGCGGGGGCCCTGGAGCTGCCTGGGGGCTCCGTTGGGGTGTCCGGACTTGGAGCTGCTGGGAAAGAGTTTCCCGGAAAGGGGCGCTTGGGATCCGGAGCTGCTGGAGGCTGCTGGAGAGTGGGTGCTGGGAACCCTCGAGCTGGGAATGGAAATGGGCCCTGCTCTGGGCTGCTGGGCTCTCGGAGCTGCTAGGAAGGAGGTTCCGGCCAAGTGGCCCAGTCCTGCTGCTGCTAGGAAAGGCGTCTCCTGGACGCGAAGTGTGCGTTGGGCGGTGCAGGAGCCCGGCGGCTGCTGCTGAAGATTCCTGGGTCGGGGGCGCCGCGGGCCAGAGCTTCCGGAGTGGGCTGGGTCCGGGAGAGGGTGCTTGGGGCCGAACTTCGGAGCTTCCGGAGAAGATCGGAGAAGATCGGGAGCTTGGGGACTCGAGCTGCCAGAGGGGGGCTGGAGGAGGGACCGTAGGAAAGGGGGTGCTGCAGGCGACTGCAGGGTCCTGGAGAGGGCGCGGGCGGGGGAGGATCCGGTGGGGAGAAACCTGCCCAGACCCTTCGGTTCTCCAGGGTCCGGGTTCGTCCAGGGCTCCTTTGCCAGGTAACCCTCAAGTCCGCCTCCCCTTCTCCTCCAGTCGCTCTTGGAGTTGCACAAGAGGCGGAAAGCGCTGACCGAGCCCGAGGCCCGCTACTACCTGCGGCAAATCGTCCTGGGCTGCCAGTACCTGCACCGAAACCGGGTGATTCACAGGGACCTCAAGCTGGGCAACCTCTTTCTGAACGAGAGTCTGGAGGTGAAAATAGGTGAGACGCTGCTCGGCCCGGAGGGGGCTCGACGCCACTGTTGTCATGGTGGGAATGAGCAGGCGCCTGGGGAGAGGGTATCAGGAGGCGAGGGAGGAAGAGGATTGTGGGAAGGCTGGGCTGCTGTCGCCTTTAGATGTCTCTTTAGAAGTTTAAAACGGAGCCCACAAGCCTGAGTCTGGCCTTCAAGATGCTTCATTTGTATGCCCCGACATGGTATCTTAGGAAAATAATTTGAATTCGTTTCTTATTTGGGAGAGGTGCTTCTGGAGTGCTGGGAGAGCACTCTACCACTGAGCTACCCGCCAGCCAGCTTCCATTTTTAAAATTTGGAGACATGGCCCGAAAATTTGGATTTGGAGCTTCTTTAAACTGGAAGCTCCACTATTGCAAGGGCAGCATTCCCTCAGGGCACCTGTGCTAGGCCGAAAAGCAGGTGTGTCTCATAGATTCTCCCTCTGGCTTGCCCCTGTCCCCACCTCTCCCTGTCACTGCCTTACCAACTTGCTAAGCAGCTGTCTTAAAGGGTATTCCTTTAATCCCCAAAGGATTGTTCTGTCAATTCCCTTTTCTAAGAGCAGGGTTGAGAAAGGTCAGCAGGAGGCCCTGGTCCCTGTGGCCAGTGCAAGGGGGATTCTGGGTAAGCCTTCCTGCCCAGGAGGAACAGAGGCTTGTGGGATCAAATGACTCTGTTGCTTGTGGGCAAGCCTGAGCCAGCTGTCTGCAGTGAGGCTGGCATCTGAGTACCCCCTCTTCCTCCCTCTGTCCCAGGGGATTTTGGACTGGCAACCAAGGTGGAATATGATGGGGAGCGGAAGAAGACCCTGTGCGGGACTCCTAATTACATAGCTCCCGAGGTGCTGAGCAAGAAGGGGCACAGTTTCGAGGTGGATGTGTGGTCCATTGGGTGTATCATGTAAGTTGGGAGTTGGCTCCGGCCCTATTTGGCCTCAGAAGGAGCCCTTTGAGACATCCGCCTGGCTGCATTCATCCTGTGGATCCCTCTGCCTTGTGGAAAGGCTGCCCCCAGACAACACCTTACCATAGCTTTCCTCATCACTTGGATTCCCATGGCCTGGGCCTTAGCTTCAGGGAAGGGGCTGGAGGCCTCCACAACCTTGCCGTGGCCTCTGAGACCAGCAGCAACAGCAGCATCAGCTGAAAAGCTTGTTAGAAATGAAGAATCTCAGGACCCAGACTATACCTACCAAATTGGAATTTGGATGTTTCCTTTGCACAGTGAAGTTTTAGAAACTCTGATCAGCACGGGGTGGGAGGTGCCTTGATATCTGGATCAAGCCTAGCAGAGAAGGGTTAGTGGTGAGCAGAGGCCTGGGCTTTTTTAGGTGTAATCTGTGGTGTCGTTGTTGGCCTGGGTACTGGGGGGTTAGACGTCGGTTGTAGCAATGGCTTTCAGACTTCTTGGCAATGGAACTTTTTTTCAAATAAAACCGACAAACCTTCAGTACAGAGTTACTGAACATGGAGCTGCTCCTACAGGAGCAGGTAGTCCACCTACTGACCTGATGTAGATGGCCTGCAGCCTCAGGCCCTGGATCACTGCAGGCCAGAGGGGAACAATCCCTGGCCCACTGGAATCCAGGTCTGGTCACTTGTATTCTACTGAAGGCTCATCCTAGCTATTGATCTCGGGGCTGCTAAGCAGAGTGTGTCCAAAGGATGCCTACTCTTCCCTCTGGCCCTGAGGCTACTTCTGCATTTGCATTTTTGCTTGAGAGGCTTGTGCTGAATCTGACCTTGTGCTTACAGGTATACCTTGTTAGTGGGCAAACCACCTTTTGAGACATCTTGCCTAAAAGAGACCTACCTCCGGATCAAGAAGAATGAATACAGTATTCCCAAGGTGACTAACAACACTTTAAAATTAAATTTATTTTTCTCCAGAAGCTACTTACTGAGCCCAGCTCTATACTGAGGACAGAGATAGGTCTAGGGGTCCACGGAGCTATAGGGGATGTTTATCTGATGTTGCCTCCAGAACTTGATGCATATGTACATGTAAGCATTTTTTTTCTAGTGGAAGTTTGTAGATTATTGAAAGTAGGTAGAAAAGCTATGTAAAAAGAAGGGAAAAATTACAGGAGACAACCAGGCAGATGGGTTCATGCTTTGGAAATGGACCAGCTTAATTCAAATGGACTCTTCTGCTTAGCATCCAGGTCACGCCTGGCCAGTGTCTTGACTCTGCTGAGTTTCCCATTAATAAGGTGGAGGGACTGCCTCTGGAGCTTCTCGAAGAGTACTTGCATCCAGTAAGCACTCACTGAATTGTGAGCCACTGTGAATCCAAGGGCTTTGCAATGGCAAAATGGTGTCCAATTTTCACAGCCACTGGCACAAGTTTGTTTAAAGGAATAGCCTGTTTCAGAGGCTGGCACCTAGCCATTTGGTGTCCTCAACTTGTGACTTGCTGTCTTCAAACAATCGTACTCGCCACTTAAGTCCACCCTTGTTGAGTCACACAGAGTTCATTATTAGAAAGACAGCAAGGAATGACCCAAGGTGACCAGATTCCATCTCCACCTCTTGCTGGGTGTGTATTCTTAGGCAAGGCCCTCACCCTCTCTGTGCCTCTTGTGCCTCTGTGTGCCTCAGTGTCCTCATCCCTACGCCCAGATGTTTTTGTGAGGGCAAATGAGTTAATAGACAGGAAGCACTTGGAACACTTTCCTGGTACATAGTAAGTGCAGAATCAGTGCTAAGCCCTTCCTGTGCATTGGCCCTGTGCTACATTGTATCCCATTGAATGTTCTCAGTGGGGCTCCAGGCTTGGGGCTGTGTTCCCATTTTACAGATGCAGATGCAAAGGCATTAGAAAGTCCAGATTACTTGTCAAGCTGGTACTAAAGGCCAAAGCGGAGATCTGTGTGCAGGTCTTCGAACCTTGAGGCCTGTTCTTCAGTGCTCCTCTAGTGGTGAACAACTTTAAGTGTACAAGGGCAAGTTCAGGAGAGAAATTATGTCAAGTTAACCCTGAGTCTCAAGGGGAAGGAAACAGTCATACTCGCCACTTAAGCCCACCCTTGTTGAGTCAGCAAAGCTGATCGTGGAGAACTTGGCATTGCTCTGGACTGCTGACCTGTGGCATCCTTGAGACTAGGGGCCTGTCTACACGTGGGCTGGTCCTGCAGGCCACCGTGGCAGTGCTGCATGTGGGGTCCCTGTGGCCTCCTGCTTAAGGCTTGCGCTCTCTGTTCCAGCACATCAACCCTGTGGCTGCCTCCCTCATCCAAAAGATGCTCCAGACGGATCCCACTGCCCGCCCCACCATTCACGAGCTGCTCGATGACGAGTTCTTCACTTCTGGCTACATCCCTGTCCGTCTCCCCATCACATGCCTCACCATCCCACCAAGGTTTTCAATTGCTCCCAGCAGCCTTGACCCCAGTAACCGGAAGCCTCTCACGGTCCTCAATAAAGGTAAGCACTGGTCAGGGTGAGCCAGCAGAGCCCAGGATTTAGAGGCATAGACAGCTTGCTGTTTGGCCTCCAGACCTCAGGTGTGGCATGGGACTGGCCCCGATCCAGAAGGACCTGGTGTCCTCCTGCCCCAGGGCTCTATCAGGAAAGCAGACCTTACACAACTTGCCTGGATCAGGGTGTTGGGCTCAAGAAGAAAATGGCTGAGCCCAAAAGCCTGAAAAATACTTTTGGATCACTTTGAAAAGTTCCCATGATCACTCTTGCATGGTTCATTGAGAAAATATGAAATATTTCACATATACACCTAGGACATAATGCAGTAGACCCCCTGGACCCACCACTTAACACTCGCACAGATCTTGAAACATTTGCTTCATCTACTTGGTGGTTCCTTTGAAGTGTTTTTAAAGTGAACTCTAGCACTCCACCATTTACCCCTAAAACTTCAGTATGCGTCTCTTTAAAAGGATGGACATTTTCTTACAAAACCACACGCCATCACAGAGACTGTCTTTGCTGGGTCCTGTCAGAGGGTGGAGTTAGGAAATGCATATTTGAGGGGAAACCTCGTGTTCATGATATTTCTGATTTTATCATCTTAATGTTTTATTTTTATATTGATCAAGCTTATGAAAAGGTGGTAGATAGGACTAACTCCTATACTTTCCTTTTCCCCAGATCCACCAATTACATTTTTTCCATATTTGCTTTGTCAGTCTCTCTCCATGTATCTTTTCCTTTTTTTTCTGAGCCATTTGAAAATATCTCATATACATCTTGTCCATTGCCCTTAATAGTTAACTGTATAGTTCCTAAAAACAGCGTCTTTTACTAACCACGGTACCTGGCAGACACCATTATCAAGTTCAAGCCTTTGAACATGGATCCAATGTTGCCCCCCACCCCCAAATGTCATCTTATAACAATTGTCTTCTCCACTTTGGAGTTAATGTTTTTCTTTGGTTAATTTAAGTGTCTGATTCAGACAGAAATGTGTTATATATATATTTTTTTACTTCTGATTTTTATACTTGGATGTATTTCTTAAGTTGAAAATCTTAACATAGTCCCAAATTTTGACATATATAAAGTGGTTCCAATGTTCTAAAGTTCTGCTTTGCTTAAACTATCCTTTGTGAAATATATTTTTTTAAAAGTAGCTTGAAATACTTTGTTTCTCTGTGTGGATATGTCACCATTTTAATACAGAACTTAGAACTATTTCAGTTTTTGGCTTTTAGGGATTACTTGCTTGCTTTTAAAACTTTTTGGAATTAATTTGTAGAAGAGTTACAAAATAAAATAAAGCAGAGTCCCATAAGCTCTTCATCCAGTTTCCTCAAATGTCAGACTCTTGCTTAACCATGAAACAGTTATCAAAACTGAGACATTAGGGCTGGGATTGTGGCTCAGTGGTAGAGCGCTCGCCTAGCACAGGTGGGACCCAGGTTCGATTCTCAGTACCACATTAAAAAAATTTTTTTTTTTAAAAAGGCATTGTGTTGTGTCCATCTACCAATAAAAAAGCTATTCTCTCTCCTCTCTCCCCCCTCCCCCTCCCCCCTCTCCCCTCCCCCCCCCTTAAAAAAAAAGAGAGACATTAGCTTTGGGACAATACAACAAACATCAGCCTTTCCTCAGACCCATCAGTTTTTTCCCATCATACCCCTGTTCTATGCCATTCAGGACCCCACTTGGCATTTAGCTGTCATGTTGCCTTAGTCTCCTCCAACCTAGGACACAGCCTCAGTCTGTGTTTCGTGGTCATGGCCCTTTGAAAAGCACTGGTGAGGTTATTTCCTAGAATATCTTTCAATTTGTTTTTCAAGATTATACTTACTGTTTAAGTGACTAATAGAGCTCTCCCCAACCCCTAATTTGATTTCGATGCTTCCTTGAGCTTACATTGGAGTTGTGCATTTTTGGCAAGACTACTGCAGAACTGATATGTTCCTCTCGGTGTTCTATCTCCTGTTGGATTTTGGTTTTTTTGGTACCGGGGATTGAACTCGGGGCATTCAACCACTTAGCCATGTCCCAGCCCTATTTTGTATTTTATTTAGAGACAGGGTCTCAGTTGCTTAAGGGCCTCATTAAATTGCTGAGGCTGGCTTTGAGCCCGGGATCCTCCTGCCTCGGCCTCCTGAGCCACTAAGATTACAAGTGTGTGCCACTGGGCCCAGCTTTTTTTTTTTTTTTTTTTTTAAATTAGTGATGTTAATCTTGACCACTTGGTTAAGGGGGCATCTGATGGGTTTCTTCATTGCAAAGTTACTATTTTCCTTGTATCATCAATAAGTATCTTGCAGGGAACTATTCTGAGACTATCTTCTTTCTTCTCAAACTGTTGCCCATTAGTTTTTGCCTCTATGTGTTGATTATACCTGCAGCAACTATTACTGTGTATATTTTTTTCTTTTTGTGATGCTGGGGATTGATCCTAGGGCTTTGCGCAGGCTAATACTCAGGTATGCAAATGCTGTTTTTTTTTTTTTCTTTTTCTCCCCCCCCTTGCCTTTTACATATCATTGATTGGATTTCTTCTACAACGAAGTGTTGTCCCTTCTCTTCCATTTATGTAGTTATTCATATTAGCAATGGACTCATGGATCTATCTTATTCTTTGGGCTATCGTACTATTATTTTAAGGATCACTTTTTCTTTTGTTTTTAATTTGAAATATTTAGCATTAAAAAAAAAACAAAACAACTTACTTACCCAAACATAGAGAACTATGATGAATTTCCATGTATTCTCACTGCTTTTCAGTGGTTATTAACATTTGTTTATCTATTCTACACACTGCCCCTCACTTGTTCATTAGGGTTTTTTAAAAAATATTTTACTAGTTGTTGATGGACATTTATTTAATTGTGGTGCTAAGAATTGAACCCAGTGCCTCATACATGCTAGGCAAGTGCTCTACCACTGAGCCACAACCCCAGCCCCTTCCCTAGGGTTTTTTTTTTTTTTTTGAGCGAGAATTTTTTTAATATTTATTTTTTAGTTTTCGGCGGACACAACATCTTCGTTTTGTAAATGGTGCTGAGGATCGAACCCGGGCCACACGCATGCCAGGCGAGTGCGCTACTGCTTGAGCCACATCCTCAGCCCCTTCCCTAAGGTTTTTAAATCCAATCTCTAATTCTTATTATTTCACACTGAAGTCCCCATACTAGCATAGTGTTTTATTTATTTATTTTGCTATTTTTGAAAACTTACTTTAAGAAAATTTTCACTTATACAAGGAGAACTAGCACATGTTGGGAAGAGGGGGATTAAACATTTAGGCATTCAAGACAGTGAAAATCATCCATGTTTCTCCTGCCCAGGTGTAACCAATGTGAATTTATTATGCATCTTTTCAGATTCTTTGGTTACATCTAGGCATATAAAACAATTTTTTTTTTTTTTTGGATTGCACATTTGTTTTAAATTTGGGCTTACTATTCACTCCTGAGAAGAATTAATATTACATTTTAACATTTCATATGTATCTAGTTTCAGCATTATATAAATTCAATATTGTATAAAACAAATTTTAAGGTGGAAAAATCTTAACATTTTCATTAAGTTGCCTACTAAGTCCATGAATTATGAGTTCTCAGTCCTGGATCTTTCTGGATACCGAGGATGCCTTTAATTCTTTGCCTAAAGCGCAGCAGCTCTGAGCTGTAGGTGATTTCAGGCTGCTCCCTAGGTGACAGGTGATGTCCTGCGAGGCCACGCTGTTGGGTCAGAGGCCTGAGTGCCTGAAGCTCTGTGGCCTCCTGGTGAGCACCAGGTGCTGTCACAGGAGCACAGCACAGCTCTGATAATCGAATACTGACTCAGTTTCCCCAAAGCAGTGGTAGCTACAAGCTCTTCTCTGGGAAGAGTGCCAGCTGTGATGGGGGTCCTGTGTCCCCGCCTACGACACACCCCATTTTGTGCCCAGCTAATGACTGTCACCTTCCTAGGCACGGAGAAGCCCCAGCCTGATCGTCCTCGGGAAAAAGAGGAACCAGTGGTTCGGGAGACGAATGAGGCGGTTGAATGCCACCTCAGTGACATGCTGCAGCAGTTACACAGTGTCAATGCCTCCAAGCCCGCAGAGCGAGGGCTGGTGAGGCAAGGTGAGTACTGCAGGGCCCGGGTCGGGGAGGGGGTGCTGGGGCCACCTGGAGGAGCAGGGAAAGTCAATAGCATCTGACTCCCTTTGGTTTCTGTTTCCTGTTGATCAAAATTTAAATGAGTGAGCCTGACACCCAAGGCCCTCAGGGTGGGGCCCCTGTGGCCTTTTTCTTGCACTACAAGTATTCCATCTTCTAGCATGCCAGCGTGTCACCTCTGTACGTCTGTGCATGCTGTTCACTTGCTCAGTAGACCCCAGCCTTCCCTTCAGACACCGAGACCCAGCCCCAGGGCTTTAGTTCCTTCTGCTCCTGCCCCTGGAATGCGCTTCCTCCCCACATCTGCGAGCCTCGAACTCTTGCTTCTTCCAATGTCTGCTCCACAAACATCTCCTGGCACTCAGTGCTGGCCCTCTCAACCCTTTACCTGCTGGTTAGTTAGTTATCCATAACCGTATCACCCAGCATATTCCAAAATTCCTTGCTTTGTTTAGTGCATTTAAAATAATTGTTTCCTGCACTGAACGTAACATTTGATATATTCAGAATTGTGTATTTGCTCAGTTTTTTAATCCAGTTAGGCACTTTTACCATGAGAGAAATAACTTGTGGAGTTTGTCCATATGTGTTTTGATTAATCTCCCCCTTCCCCCCCACCTCACATGTGAGCTCAAGGGCCAGGGTTTTGTATCTTGCTAACTATCTCCATGAGCTCCCACCCCAACTCCTGGCATGCAGTAGGCTTTCTGTGAGCACCAGCCTGCTGGAGGGGCGGAACTTGGTGCATTGAGTGATAACTTGCCAGTTAGATGTGTGTGCTGCCACTGGTTTTGGCTCGTTGGTGGCAGAGGCCCTGCTGTGCCTTCTCTGGGGCCCCAGGCCCTTGGACAGAGCAGTGGGTGCTCAGCAAGCTTCCTGGGTGTGGGCTCTGAGTGGGCCGGGAGGAGACTGGTTCTGATCAGTGGTCTGTCTGTTCGTTCCAGAGGAGGCAGAGGATCCCGCTTGCATCCCCATCTTCTGGGTCAGCAAGTGGGTGGACTACTCCGACAAATATGGCCTCGGTAGGTCTCTCCCAGAATGGGGGGGTGGCTCAGGTCAGCCAGTGACCCTTGAAGTTGTTACAAGCTCTGGTCTTTTGTGGCTCCCAGGTCCCCTTCTCTCAGAACTCTCCTGTCTGCATCCCAGGCCTCCCAGTTCCAGTCGCCAGTCCCCCCCTTCCTTCCTCTTTCTGAGGTCTCCCTCCCCCTGCCTCTAGGGTATCAGCTATGTGACAACAGTGTAGGGGTGCTCTTCAATGACTCCACGCGCCTCATCCTATACGACGACGGGGACAGCCTGCAATACATAGAGCGCGACGGCACCGAGTCCTACCTCTCCGTGAGCTCCCACCCCAACTCCTTGATGAAGAAGGTGAGCTGAGCCCCTGGCGGCTGTGGTGGCCGGGCGTGGGCCACTGCCGCAGCACGGGCTCCAATCTCAGAAGCCCACAGAAGCCATTCCCCACTCTCCCTCCAGATCACCCTCCTGAAGTACTTCCGCAATTACATGAGCGAACACTTGCTGAAGGCGGGCGCCAACATCACGCCACGCGAGGGTGACGAGCTGGCGCGACTCCCCTACCTGCGCACCTGGTTCCGCACCCGCAGCGCCATCATCTTGCACCTGAGCAATGGCACCGTGCAGATCAACTTCTTCCAGGTAGACGGGGCAGGAGAAGGGTGGATGGGGGGGGGGGGCGGGAGTGTGGGTGTGGGTCCTCGGCTGCAGGCACTGGGCGGGGAGCCAAGCGGCGCTCCCCCTCCCCCAGCTCCCCCTCCCCCAGCTGCGGTGCCTTCCTCCCGCGTCCCCTGCGCATACTGGCAGCTGGGATCTCCTGCCTCCCTTCCCTCCTTCCAGGACCATACCAAACTCATCCTGTGTCCGCTGATGGCAGCCGTGACCTACATTGACGAGAAGCGGGACTTCCGCACGTACCGCCTGAGCCTGCTGGAGGAGTTCGGCTGCTGCAAGGAGCTGGCCAGCCGGCTGCGCTACGCCCGCACCATGGTGGACAAACTCCTGAGCTCGCGCTCGGCCTGCCATCGCCTCAAGGCCTCCTCCTAGGCCTCCCCCTCTGGACTGGCGCCTCCTCCCTCCCACCAGCTCCCGGGCCTGCGCTGGTTGGCTCCCGTGGGCAGTTTCTGTAGTGTGCCCCAGCCCTGGGGGCTGGGCAGGAGCTCCGTGGCCCTGCAGGTGGGGTGTGTAAGTTATTTTTGTACATGTTGGGGTGTGGGTTCTGGCTCTTGCTCTCACGCAGCCCACCAGATGAATTGCACAGAGAATTTCTATTGAATCGGGACTGCCCCTTCCTCGGCTTTATACGCATTAAACACATGTGAGTCTTCACTGTGGCTGTGTTCCCTGAGGCCCGGGCTCCAGGGAAGGTCTCTGCTCCAGCAGACCCAGGCTGCCAGGCCTCCCCGGTTTCCTCAGGGACTGAGATGGGCCTCCCCCTCGGCCCCAGCTGCAGGCCCAACTCCCTTGCCCGCTCGGGTGGAGGCCGTCTCTGCGCCCTCTGCTGGCTCAGCTCCCCGTGGCTCCTGGCACGGCTCCCTGGCCTCTGCAGCTGGCGGGTAGTAGGTCAGGAAGAGGCTCTCCGAGGCGCAGCTCCTCATGGTGCGGTGGGTATGGAGGAGCAGCCGCGGGAATCGCTGGGTGAAGTACTGCACAAAGCTGTCGGGGACCTGGCCCAGGGCTTGCTGCACCTCGGCTGGCAGCTCCCTGTAGTGGTGCTTCTGGGGGTGATAGAGCAGGGGACCCTGGCTCAGCTGTGGCCGGCCTTCCAGGATCCAGGCCCCACCCAGACCCAGAACATACCTTGTTCCTCATGGCCCGCAGCAGGTCTCGCACCGATGTCCCCTTATATGACCGGAACCTTCTCAGATCTGTAGGCAGAGAAACGGGCTCTGGAGTTGCCCCCCATGGGTTCCCCTTGGCCACCCAGGTGTGTGCCTTGCCTGTCTGCAGTGGCATGGAGATGTGCTTGTGCCAGTTGTGCCGGACCACCTTGTAGCTGCCCGCCTCCAGCGCTGTCACCAGGGGCCCTTGCCCAGACTCCTTCTCCAGCCAGTCACTGACGTCCTAGGACCCACAGAGCTCCTGAGCCTTGTGACCAGTGCCAGCCGCCCCAAGGCCAGGAGTGTGTCACGCGGTAGGAGTGTGAAGCAGAGAGCCTCTTGGTTTAGGGTGGTCAGGACCATTGTCTCTTGGGGACCTTGGATTTGCTGGGCTGCGCCTCTGGGATTTACCACCTACCCAGAAGGCAGGTGCCATGTGTCCATTGTATAGAGGAGCAAATGGGTTCAGAGGCACAGTCCCCTTGGTCAGGGTCACACAATGGAATGGAATATCTGGGCACGATGGAACAGGTAGTTACACTGACTTCCCATGTTGATCAGGACCCAACCTTAGGACTTCTGGGGGGCCATTCCCAAGGTTTCCCTCTGACCTGGAAAAACTGGAGCTGCTTGGCTCTGCTCCAAAAGAGGGGGTGGGCCAGCACCTGTGGAGCGGAAGGGCGGGCCTGCGGCACAGGGCTCAACATGGCTTCCACCAGGTCCCGGGCCACCACCTTGTCTGGGGGGCAGAAGGAAGGATGGTTCAGGCCTACCCAGCCTCGTGCCCTCTTCCTCCCTCCCTGCTGGGCCCAGGTCTCCCTCACCGTGGGCCTCCTCTTCCAGGTGAGTCAGACAGGTAGCTCCTGCGAGGATGTTGGCCTGGCGGTAAAGACTGTCCCCAAAGGGGTGGCTGCCACCAGAAAGTACATAATAGAACACACAGCCTGTAGAGAAGATGTCCACAGCAGTGGTCTGGGGGGCCAGAGAGACGGGAATGAGGAGGAGGAAGTCACCCTGGCTAAATCCCCTCAGGGGTTGGTTCAGACTACATCTCCTGGCCATGTCCTGGGCTGCATCTCTTGGCTTTAGGTCCCCTCCCCTCCGCTCTGTTGAAGACCCCCCTGGCTCTTCACCCGGCACCTGTGACCCAGCAGAGTTTCTGGTTTGGGTTTTCCTGCTCTTTCCTGCAGGTGCACAGGGAGCACGACAGAGGCTACAGTAGGCGACGGTAAGGATTGGAGACCTGGCATGGGCCCTGACCCTGCCAGCTGATCCCCGGCTCTCGCTAATCGTCACCAGGGGACTCTGCTAGGATGGCAGAGCTGATTTCCCCCCCCCCCCCCAAGAGAATCCCAAATTCAGATTTTTATGCGGGATTTCCCCCAATGTCAAAATAGTGGCCAGTAATTAAAAAAAAATAAACTTTCTGGGCTTGCAACATTAGTGCATTGGTCCTTGGATCTCCAGCCCACCACTTGGAGCTTTCTCCTGATTTGGGGAGTGGGAGTGATTTCCCTAGTGACTGTCCTTTGGTGTTATCTACACCTAATAATTCAACTTCCACCCACACACTGTGACTCCAAAATCTATAACCCTGGGGTCCCCAACTCTAGTGCCCATGGGGTCAGAAGCTGTTCTGTGCTTCATCTACATCAGCAGATGCTCCCCAGAACCCTCCACATCAGTGATTGTGGACCCAACTCTACCTTACAACACCCAGGAGGCTCTACCCCAGCTAATTAGATCAGAACCACTGGGTACGGGGATCTGGGTGTTTTCTTCCCACGTCAGTTCCCCAGTAATTGTGAATCAGTGAAGATTGGTTTTTATCTTAAGATCCCCTGGGCAGCAGAATGGCCCCTGTTGGAGAGCCACTGCCCGAGGTAAGAAGAGCCCTTCTGCACAGATCAAGCAGCAGAGGCTTGGAGGAGTTGATCACCCAGCAAGTGGGGTAGGGCCTCTTCTGGAAGGCAGCTGGGACACAGGGAGCCCTGTGGCCTGGGGCAGGCGGGAAGACTCACAGGGCTGTTTGGGGGCAGGAGTTGTAGGAGCTCGGGTGCCATCCAGCCTTCGGTGCCAGGGATGCCCGAGCGGAGGCTGAAGCTGCATCGGCCAGCAGGCAGCTTCTTGCAGAGGCCGAAATCCGAGAGGACCACCCTGCCTTGACCCTGGCCGTCAGGCCCGGTGAGGAGAATGTTGCCCGGCTTCAGGTCACGGTGCACTGCAGGGGTGGCACGGAGAGGGAGCTGGTGGCTGGTGCAGGAGAAGAGCAGGTGGAAGTTGGGGACAGGAGGCAGGGCCAGAGGTTACCTATGTGTAAGGAGTGCAGGTGTGCCAGGCCAGATGTCAGCTGCTGGAGTACCATTGTGGGCTCCAGGCCCCAGCGGCCAAGGTCGGGGTTCTCTACGTACTGAGCAACATGGAAGGGCAAAGTGTCACTATGCAGCCCCGGGCCCCCTGCCCTCCCTGAGCTCCCAGCTCACCTCCTGCAAGGTGGCCTGGCAGAGTTCCAGGGCAATATAGTGGAACTGGGGGCTCCGCTCCGTGCAGAAGTAGCGGAGCACATTGGGGTGCCTGTCGGACTCCTGCAGCAGCTGGACCTCCCGCCGAACCAGACTGAAGCACTCTCGGAGTAGCCGTTTGACAGCCACCGCCCGACCCTCAAACTGTCCCCTGGGAGGTGGGTAAGGGGACAGGGGTTCCGAGAGAGCAGATAAAGGAAAGGGTAGGAACTTGTGAGCAGAGGGGTCAGCCTGTCCCCACCCTGGGGAGTCTTGAAAGAATGGTTCCCTAAGGGGTAACGGCCAAAGGCTGTCAGTGCCATGTCTGTAGCCTGGCTCCTGCCTACCTGCCACTTACCGGAAAACGAATGTCCCACCTGCCCCACGTCCCAGCACGTGTTTGGGGTTGAAGGAAATCTTTCCCACTACAGTGAGCTGCTCGGCTAGGGAACAGAGGAGGGTGGTGTCACAGGGAGCCTCTGCTTGCTGCCCACAGCCCCCCTCTGCCCAGTCCAGACCTCCCCCTCCACGCTCAGCCTGGTGGGTAAGAGCCAGCACCCAGGTGTCAGATTAACAGGTCCAATAGCTCTTCCTTCATGTGTACTTGAGCAAGTTAATTGACCTCTCTGCCCTGGGTTTTCTCATCTGTAAAGCAGGGCAATGTCAACGGCCCTACATCATGTTAACGTGAAGACTGAAGGACTATGGGAAGAGGGGGCAGGGAGATGTTTGCTGAATTAGCCTCTTTTCTGGCATCTTCTGCCCTAGTTTTTTTTCCCCTGAATTTCTCTGCCATTAGCCCCACCTCCACCAGTTGTAACTGAATCCTTTAATTGAGGTTGGACTGGCTTCAAACAGGAAGGTGAACTTGGCAGTGGGAGCATGACGAGAGTGAGCATAGTTACAGAAAAGACTGGCCAGAAAGGAAGAAGCGGGGCTCCTGGGAGCCTCTGTGGCCCCAGAGTTAGTTCTAAGGTGGCAAGGGATCCCCAGAAGGCCTTGCTTTCCCATTAGGATGGATGAGGTGGGTTCAGGGGAGCAAGGGTCTGTAGGTTTGTAAGGGGCACTCTCCATACAGCCAACTATATGGCACCCCTGAATTGTGCAGAGCAGGGGCCCTGAGAACATGCTACTCACTTCTGGCTCTATAATCAGCTCTAGAAAAAGTGGAAAAGCAAAATAAAATCAGGGTTAGGAACCAGTAAGAAAATCCCTATTATGGTTGGGATGTGAGGTATCTCCCAAAAGCTCACATGGAAGACAGTGCCAGAAAGTTCAGAGGAGAAATGACTGGTTAGGAGAGCCTTAGTGGGTGAATTAATCACCTTGTGGGATTAATTGAGTGGCAAGGTTGGTGGGTGTGACTGGAGAAAGGGGGCCATTGGGGGCATGGCTTTGGGGTGTATATATAGAGAGACTGGGTCTCACTGAGTTGCTTAGCGCCTCGCTAAATTGCAGAGGCTGGATTTGAACTCGTGATCCTCCTGCCTCAACCTCCCGAGCTGTGGGATTAAAGGTGAGCACCACCACCACAACCAGCTGGAGTATATATTTGTATCTGGAAAGTAGAGTCTCTCTCTCTCTGCTTTCTGATCATCACAAGAGCTGCTTCTATCCTCCACACACTCCACCATGATGTTCAGCCTCAACTTAAGCCCCGAGGAATGGATCTGGCTGTCTACGGACTGAGACCTCTAAAACTGTGAGCCCTTAAGTAAACTTTTCCTCTTCTATAATTTTTCTGTTTGGGTCTTTTACTTACAGCAGCAAAAAAAAAAAAAAAAAAAAAGCTGACTAAAACCAGCCCCAAGCCATGCTCTAGCACTACTTGCTAAATATTCGCTCTCATCCTCTCTGCAAAATGCAGGCAGTAACCTAAGTTGGTGTTCCCTGGACTCGGGAATGAATGCATTCTGGGCTTTGCAGAAAGCACATCACCTGTACTGTCTGTGGCAGCTCAGAAATCAGGGACAGAATTGCCTGAAAACCTATTGGAACAAGCGCTGGT